TTTTTATTGGAATGAATTTACATCAACTTTGTTCATTCTAACTATAATAATAATTTGTATTTTTATATAAGCATAAATTTACATTTCCTAACTGTTGTATTGACGGTCTCTTATTACTTTAGTATTTTCTGTTGACGGAAGATTGAAGTGGTTAGTCATTTCTTACTGGTATTTATTTGCAGACATTCTGGACTATTCAGAGTAACCAACTCTGAACTATATCACCTAGCCGTCAAGTAATTAAACTTGCTATATGGCCTCGTGCTTAGCTGATCAGTAAATTTTCGACCTGTCAGTGTGTCCTTTAATACCTCACGTGTTGAGTTTCAGTTGGTTATTACCCATATAAATAACACTCTGATTTCTAGACAGTTGTCATCTGACAACACTAGTTATTTTCTCAAACCATTACTAAAGGAGGACATCATCCGTCTTGTGTCGGCCAGCATGATCATGTAAGTGACACAGTGGGTTTTGCAGTCGGTGAACTCTGACCATTGTAGCTAGAAGTCATAGTGATGAATTCTGCTTCGGCATATACAGAAAACCATCCACAATTCTGAGAAGGCCCTACTAACTGTAGATCAGCCTCGTCGTGGCCGGATTGCGAAATAGTTAGTTAGACAACTGTTTGTCGTTTCAATGGGTTTGGATTTACTAGACTGAATTGTGATTTCCCCCACCGCTACCGTGGTGCCCACTCACTATTTGTTGCCATACGAAGTAAGACATCCACTTTTAGATCGAAACTATTCAGTGAAGACGGCATCCGCATTATTTCGATGCTCTCCTCACCGATATTCCGAAGAAAATTACAATTACAGTCAGCGTCAGAGTAGTATCTGGGCGAAGTGTGCTGCACTCGACTGTAGGAGAGCTTCTGCAAAATTGTAGGCTATGATTAAATTAGCCAGCAATTCAGCCTAGGAAAACGTTATCGACCATTTGGTCTAGCAGTTCTAACATAAAATACTTTCCTGCCAGCAAACTCTATGACGCATTATTAGCGGTTAGGAGATACATACAAACAGCTGCTAGTGCATTTGCGCTGGTATATGGAACGGAAAGCTTGGTCTTCAACTTACTCGGTCAAACACCTTTCCGGCATTCTGTCATTAATCTTAACCTTCGACTAATGAGGTAAGCCCTGGTAATTAAACCAACCATTAATGCTAGCCAGAAAGATGTGATCTAAATATAAGATGTCCTTTTCAATAATTACCAGCCGGACTCATCAGAGGTGTAGAATGTTTGCCTCAACCAAGAGAACCGGAATAGTCGCGAGCCAAGAATTTCGAGCAGCTATATGAAGAAAGAGATGACACCTGTTGACGATGTATTTGAAGAGTGAACGATGATTGGTTGTTTGCTCAAACACAACTTCTCAATATTTTGGGCTGAAGTCATCAATCCAGCAGTCATCGTCTCATCGTTCGCTGTTCACTGGAAGACAGAAAACTGTCAGAAGTATTATCGTCATTTATTGTTATAACATTGATTCTCAGACCCTGTGTATAATAACCTTACTGTTGGTTACATATCGCCGTAAGAATAAGGGATTCTCGAGTCGTCAATCAGTGTTCTGGTTTTTAACATAACATAACAACTTCGCTTTATTCCAGAAACAGTACTTGTGGTACAGTGTGGAATTTTTAGCACATATCTACAATATTGCACCTAATTTCATCGTACATTTTTCGCGATGGTTGTTTCTGAAAGTCTTCGAGGGACAGCATGAGGTCCAGCATAGTAAGAGGTGGACATTGACAGTTTCGGAGATTCGGCTGACACCCGTCATTGGTTATTTGAAAACTGAATTCGAAAATGCTGCTGTCACACCGCAGACCAAAAAGACACGTTCTTCACGCGAAAAGAGGATTGGTTGATGGTGCTAAGTCTTGATGCACACGAATCCTGCCAAAACTGTCTCCTGTTCAGCTGGATTAATTAAACGCCATGAGCACTCCTTAGGAGCACATTAAAAGGTGCACTGAGCCGACGAGTGCATGCTGACATCATGAGATGCATCTGCCAACTCGAAACGAGGTAACTGACATAACTTGTTATTGATCCCCCTCCTTACTTGGAGGAGACAAACGCCAAAACTGCAGTAACGGTGTGAATCAACCTTTGTTGGACTATATTTATATGAGCATCAATTGCACTCGCTACCGTAGAGCCAGCCACATATATTGTCTTAGCGAAAACTACCCAGGATGGTTTCAGAGTCAGCGTAGAGGATAAATTAGGATGAACAACCTATGTTTGATAGCCCTAAAGTTATGACTGGTGCAGTAACAGGTATGATATCCTGAATGGGTTATTTCAAAGGATTTTCGAGGTCATAAAATCGAGGAGAAATCACATTTTCATCGGCAGATTGCATTTACCAATGGATGTGTAAGCAACACATATCCTGTATTTTGAACACAAAAGAGGTACAGCGCTTGTCATTGTTCATTTTCCGTCCATTTCAGTGTAGTGAATGCTTACAAAATCTTACTTGATTGTACTGTAATATGGAGGGAATAGAAACGGAAGAAGACAATCGTTTATGATACCCTGAAGGTCCATTTCCAGGAGGGCATGCGGCAGGATCAAGTGGGGCGGGAAAGAATTCAGTGTACGCTTTTCAGATTGCTTCACACACTAGCATAGAAACCACGTCTGAGCCAACAAGAAAGCCTTCAATAATCGGACCGCGAGTGAATTTATTGCACATCACCACTAATCGTAACGTCGTAGTTCACTGCTATAGTGGTTTAACAAGTCATATTTTTGGTATGCTTCTTAAATGAAATTTTGCATTGGAAATTTTTCTCCGGTGTGCACACTGTCAGTGGCGTTATACTCTTGTACATTTGCTGCACTTTTATCAGAAAATTTTGCTTGATAATGATATTCGCGCGATGTGGTGGATTGAAGGAGGCAGTGAGCCCAAAAGTTAAATGTATATTTTTGGATTTTCACGAAATCATGCTAGTATATCTTGGCCTATTTATTGAAATGCCCTAGTACCCACCGGGTAAAGGTAGTGTCACTTCAAAAAGGGGTGTGCCAAATAATTCCTCGCGGACCACCTGCCACGGAAACCCCATGGGACTTCCTCTTCTGCCTTTAATGTAGCAGTATTAAAAGTAATTGCCTCGTAGATTTGATCAAAAACATGCTTCTGCTCCTACCATCATAAGCCTGTTCAGCTTCTTGTCAAGACGCTAATCCGTGGGCCCTGCAGAAATTCGTGAGGTATCTTACGGGTCAGCTTGTCCCACGGGCTGTAATCTTCCACATCTTTGAGTTCAATTCTCACTGAAATACCACTTATCTACCTCACGATAATCTTTTATTTACGCACTATTATAATCTGTTTTATCCAAACTACCTAGGCCTTTATTAAAGCTACAACTTACTCTTTGTTCATATTCGTTGCTTGCTGAAAATCTGGTTGTTTTGATGAAGAAGCCACAACAACATCAGTGCTTGAGCAAAGCTATATCTTCATCATGGTTTCCATGCTAAGACCGATATGGTTGACTTTAAACATTGCAAATATATACTATCATGCCACCTCCTTGTTATATATATCTTTTAACTGAACTTTCAATGATGTATTATCCATAATTGTACTTTGTGCCATTTCACAGTTTCCCAGGACGTTCTTCTCTTCTTGAAGCAAATTTTAATCACGTGGCAGCATAGCACTTACCCAAATGTACGCTGTTCACTGGTTGACCACAACTATCAGCATGAAACGGAACGAAGTTTGGGTTGTCGCACAAATTCACTGGTGACCTTAGTGAACGGTTTACAATTTAACATTTGTAGAAACCTGTTCGGATTGCTTGTACAACAAACGAACAATTTAAACTTTTGAAAAAGTACAAATTTATGGGGCTTCACTGATCGTGACTGTAAAAATGGCATACATTTCCCGTAAACACCAGCTTATACGAAATATGAATTATTATGACAGTGCAGCTACATATACTCTGCTTAATCAGGCACCCACCAACGTCATAACCAGATACCAGAGAAGACTAAGGATATCTTGGTTCTAACTGTTCAGCAAATGAACTATCCATAGGTGTTTTGCTGTCAGTACTAACAGGTTATGTAATGTAGTGAACAAGTGGGTGATTGGAGACATTGAGTCTAGTGGGGCTTGTGTAGTGTGGCATAACACAAACACATGTCTTACTCGGGTCTGTGTGAAACTGCAGAAGGCAATTTCAGTCGACAACACGCTGAGGTAACCTGACCCCAAATCCCATGGCCTGCCTCAAAAAAAGTATTCCTGCAAGTGAACTATGCGAACACGATGAGTTACAGAGTCCTAAACCTCATTATTGACTAAGACACTAACGTGGAGGACCATGGTAATGCAGAGGCAGCGACAGATTGCCTCAACAATATGTTTATACCGAAATCAACACCACGTCATCGTCAGCAGTGTTCGCTGATATTGATCAAAATATTTTTCACAACCCTTTGGCAAAACGTATACAGGGGAATGAATGGTAGCTAATTATATTGTGCATCAACAAATTACCGAAATTGGCTAAACTTGCCATTGTTGTCGACATGGATCCCCTAACCATTTGGAGACAGCTTAAGGGTGCGGTTGCATATGCTACAATTGCACCACAACAATCTGCTAAAATGGTCTGTTGAATCCAGTCTTCCGATCAGTGTAGCGAATTACCCAGTCATGCTTAGGAGACACGTAAGTATCAGTGCATGTGCCATATGGGGAACACCCGTTTCTAAAGCCGAGGTTCATATCGAGACTGTTCCGAAAAGATAAGAAGCCAACACCCGAATTAGACAGGTACACAAGAGCTCGCCACACAGATATTGGCTATTGAACACGCGACACTTGAGACGACCATCATTTAACACCTCTTCTAAGTTTTCGAGGTTAGTAGTGTATATATACATATATGTGCTGCCATTCGCTTAGTTCGCCCCATATTTGTTCATATTTCAGCTTGAAAATTGGAATGCAGTCGAATATTGCATTTTCTGAGGAGACCAAAATTGTTTTGTCTTCCATCAATTCAGCATCTGTATCAACTCCAGATGAAGATCAAACACTACATAATTCTGACGATGAATTTGAACGTATGCTGCCGTCTGTTATAAATAAAGAAACTTTGAGTATTCTGGAAGCGAAATTGGGGCTAGGTGGTGGAGGCGATTGGTGGATAGACCCCTCTCGTGATCCCATTGAAATAGACTCAGAGGGCAATAGAGATGAAGGTGCTATTTTAGACGTTGAAGCGAGTTGTAGAAACTGGTATCGTGCTCCATTCGACCGGGACCCAGAATTCTGCAATGATTCCTACCATCTTCTGAATCGATTAAATGAATTGGCCAGAATAAAGGGATTAATTGAAGAAGCATCATTGAGAAAACAATCTGTCAATCAGGTAGACGTAAACAACACAGACCGTCAGATATATCATTCAACATTGTCTGTGAATGGCTCAATGGATTTCAGCAACATGATTTCACCACACACAAATCACGATATACAAAATATTGACCCTCTAGCAGATCTTCGCCGTAGTTTAAATGGCCCGTTTCGAGACCTACAGTCCGATGTCTATGGCACATATGCTTTACGTAAATCAAAAAACAACCAAAAGGTGCCCCTCGGTGAAGTATTTGACGTCAGAACACATGAATCTGACTACACAAGATATCCTGATAAGCCTCAACCACCTTTTTCTCAAGCTATGCATTCAGGGCTACCTCAGTTGCACAAGTCACATCAGCCACCATCTCCTCATTCAATCCCAGTGACAAATATTTCACCTATTTTTGGCCGGAGAAAGGTGTCTACGAAGAGTAACCAACCTGCATATACTTCAGGTAGTACAAGTGTTCCAGATCCAAAGGTTTGTGGCCAAAAGCGTTCCGTACTTTCACGGACATACTCGAAGGAACAAATGGATTTCTTAAAGGAAGTGAGTGAATACCAAGTCACTGATTCAATTCTCAAAGTTCCTTCTCTTCTGGCAAGATCGCATGCACTGACGGCCTCACTACCCATATCAAACAACGAAGGTGATATAGATGTAACTAAAAGCTTGGACATTTCGTCGACAGTGAATCCATTGTCTCAGTCCCTTTCTGCAAGTGAACTTACGATGAAGGGTCGTAAGCTATCGGAGAAAGTCAATACTTCTTATTCTAGTATGAGAAGTTCTGATGTCTTTGAATTGGCCCGCTTACAAGAAACTCATTTGCGGGAACATAGTGGCAGTCGAGGCAAGCTTGACTGTTCAAACTCTTCTCTCACTGGATCAAGCATAGGTGAGAAAAATCAGAAAAAGGGAGACGGCGCTGATAGTACGGGACGAAAATCTACCAGTGGCCTCAGTTCCTGTGACGTTAGTGCTACGCACAGTCGTGAAGAAATTGTTGCTGAAGACCAGAACGGTAAACCTGAACGTCAGCATACGATCACCGCGAATGAGTGCGGTTTTAATCCATTGCAAGGTTCAATAGGTTGTGAACCCAAGGTGAATCTCAGCTCAAGTGTAGACGCATGTGTCAATTTGAGCAGTGACGAAGTTACAACACCTTCGAAACCCCTAAACTCCACATATGATGCTCCAGATTTTAAATGCGTTTACGGCAGTTGTCAATGGAGTTGGAGATTGAACGATCAATTCTTGGTTGTTTGCTCAAAATCAACTTCCCCAATTTTCGCGGAGGCATCAATACGACAGTCATCGTCTCATCGGTCGCTGTTCAGAAAGAAGAGTGAAACATCGTCAGAAGTAATACAGAGATTTATTATTGTAATATTTGTTTTCAGACCTTAATTTACTTAGTTCGCTTATTCCTTTATATGTTGGTGTAACAATAAAAAATCTCAAGCGGCAGATCGGTGTTTTGGTTTTTTCGTCCGTTATAACTAAGCGTTTCCGAAATCTTCGAAGAACAGCGTGGGCCCGAGCGTAGCGAGAGCTGGGCATTAACGGTTTATGAGACGTTGCTGACAGTTTCTGACGATAGAAACAGATCTGGCGGATTGAAACAGTTGGTGAAAGTTTGGATAGTCGCCGTTCATTTTTCCTGGTGCCGGTCAAGTCCTCTTTGAACAAGCAATATCTGGAACATTTTTGGAATTTGGTCAAGTTCAACAATGCCTGGGTCAAAGAAGGGACAGAGTGTCTTGGATGCAAACAGGAAAGTAAGTCATGGTGACTTGTCTGTTAATTGTAACGATGTGTCTGATGTTAAGTATGACATGGTTGATGTTACTGTTTCGCCGTTCAGGGATAATAGGAACATCAAACTCCCTAAATTTGAACCACGGTGTTTTGATGGAAACCCGGCTGATTATTTACAATTTGTAAAGGAGTTTGAGATCATGTTGAGTGGTTTTTTATTAAATGATGAATTGAAGTTAATGTATTTGATGAGATATTGCACTGGAGATGCTGCAAGAGCTATACAGTGTTGTAAGTTTATGAAGCCAAAAGAGGGCTACTACGAGGCTATGAGCATATTACGTCAAAGGTTTGGAAGACCTTCGATGATTGCAGGGAAATTATTCGAGGCTGTTAAGGGTAATGGTGGTCAATTACAGGATGACTCCCAGGCACTCACTGAGTTTTTAGATAATTTGCTAATTTACAAGAATGGAATGATTTCGATGAATCGAATGAGTGACCTCAACTCGAGTTTTATACTAGAAGTAATAGCAAGACGCCTACCTACTCGACTGCAAAGGAAGTGGGTGAAGATGAGCTCCCGTATGGAGGATGAGGGTATCGAGCCAAAGTTTGATGATATCCTGAAACTGGTAAAAGATAGCGTCAATCAATCTATGAGCAAGTTCGCCAGTCTATTACATCTCACCCCTAGAATAGAGCAGTCTGAGGGTAAAATGCAATCATTGATGACGAATAGGCCTCAGAGAGGTGGATATCGAGAAGGCTCCATGATGTCTAGTAATGCATATAGACCTAGTGAGTGTAACAGGTTTCGTAGTACATCCTCAACAGATAAGTTACAAGATGCAAGACAAACACGGTTGTGTTTTACACGTTTGCAAGAGGTGCATACAGAAGTGAACTGTGAACCAGTGAGCAAGTTCAGTGATAAGCTAAATGTAAACTCCAGGTCTGACTCCGAATTGTGTGACGATAACGGTTTGGGGAAGAAGTCTGTAGTTGCAACTGGTAAGCCATTGTTGAATAGAGTGTCACAGAATAGAGTTATTGCTTCAGAGTGCAGTTCTGACCCTACAAGTTTACAAGGTATTACTAGTCAGATTGAAGATATAGAACCTTTAATGATTTGTGAGGAGGAACCAAAATTGTCTACTTCTGTTATTAAAGAGTTTGAAAATGATGAAGTTGACGGTAAATTGAATATTTGTGGTAATGATCATGATAGTGCAGATTTGTCTTTGGTTGATCATGATGAGATGAGGGATATGCCTACTACTGCTAAGATGAACAAAGTTTCTGTACAACTACAACGTGAAGTAGAAATAAATGCGGATGCAGTTGCAGAAGTTATGGATATTTGTGAGACCGTCAGTGTGAGTGATCAGCATGTAGCCCACCTATCATCAGATGATAGTGCTAAACCTGAGCTGATAGTAAAAGACAGCAGTGGTGGTAATCTTGCAGTTGGACAACTATCTGAGAGCCGAACAAGAACAGCTTTTGATCCACCGCTAACTTCATCAACTGATATCAGTCAGTCGTCGTTGGTGCTGTCATCCACAATGAAACAGACGCCCATCAACTCAAGTATCTTGTGCAATGACTATGCTAGTATCAGTTCGTTTGAAAGGACGAATATCAATGGTCAGTTTAGTGAGGATAAGCCAAGTGTAAACGAGAGAGTAATTGTTAAATTGACTTGCATGAATAAAGGCATTTCTAGTTTCAAGTTTCTATTTGAATGCTATTATCTTTGGTGTAAATTACTCTGTGTCTACGCTTGGTTGACCAGATACGTCGTGTGTTTGTTAGTCATCTATATTCTACGATACAATGACATGAGCGTGTTGCCGTTCAGATTTGAGGATATAGCTGATAGAAGGAAGTCAGCAAATGAACTCTGCGACGATTTTCCAACCTAGGGCGTCAACCTGAGAAGGGTTGTAGGCGTACTGGTGTAAGTCCTACAGTTCTTCAAAGGGTAGCGCATCAATGAGCAGTCCAATGTGCTTGGTGTATGATCTTGTACATATGTTCATGTTGTATATACTGAATTGATATCATCTGTCATCTAGCTGTTGGTAATTCTGTTTGTGTCCGGACGACTTCCACTTGGATCATCAACCTGAGAAGGAATGTAGGCGTACTGCTGTAAGTCCTACGGTTCTTCAAGGGTAGTTTGTCGTGTCAGAATACACAACATTTGATGTGTTGATTGTACATATGTTTGTGTTAAATAGTTGTATGAGTTCCAATTATTGTAATTGTTGGTTAATCTTGTTAATCAAATTCTGAACTTCATAAATTAATTAGCATAAGGTTAAATACCTGTCATGCTCAGAATTTAGGACTGTGTGAAAATATGTGACTCTACCGCCTTCAAAACAGGAAATAATGTCAGTTTAATGAGTCAGTTTATTTTATTTATTCTTCTCTAGGGAACAATTCTCTCTAATTTTTAGAAGCGTTTCGATATTAATAAATTTGTCTTAAACTAATGGGATTTCTAACCACACAAAAGTCTAAAGTGCACTGAAAGTTCTAATTGGCGGCATTTAGAGGATGAAAATGTTTATTGTGATATAAACTACAACAGCTGAAATATGGTAGACTGATACCTACTCTAACTCCTCCCCATAACCACTTCACATCTAAGTAAGCGACTAAGATGTTCTTAACTAAGCCATCAAGCTAAGAGAAAACAGCTACCACATAGCATCCACTCAAGTGAATTCGTTTCCTGGAATTCCTGTCTATGACACTTCAGCAGATGATGGGCGTTGACCAGCACACTAGATACGATACGATAGTGTATGTGTAAATTATTCCAGCACTCGTCTGTGCGCATTAAAAGTGGCCACAAAACAATCAGTACACCGAAATAGAAGTGCAACATGATCATCCACCTTGAAGAACTCATTTGGGTCTCAGCAACATGGGCCATTAAGGTGTGGTTACCAGACTAAGAATTGTTGGCCGACAGTCGGATGTGATGCAATGCATGGCAAATGGAGTTGGTGGGCATTTGCATAACTTCGCTGTGATCGCTTGACTTGAACAGTGGAAGTGAGCTAAAAATACACAGTAGTGAAAGCTGAGGGGTGATAAACTCCAGAAATTATTCATTTATATATGCAACTGGTTATGATTCTAAACAACTTAAAATTGATTAAGTCTTCCGGGTTAGGTGGTGCCCACATGTCTACGTCAAACAACTAAGATTCACCGGTTGAAAACTCAGAAAATGAAACACCCAGGAAAAATCAGACGTTTGACATTTGTCAGCCACGTCTCATAAACCGTTAATGCCCAGCTCTTGCTACGCTCGGGCCCACGCTGTTCCTTGCAGTTTTTCAGAAACGCTTAGTAATAACGGACGAAAAAACCAAAAGACCGATTGGTGACTCGAGGATTCTTTATTGTTACACCAACATATCAAAATAATGTTTTTACTAGGGTCTGTGAACAAATATTACAATAATAAATCACAATATTACTTCTGATGGTTTACTGCTGACTTCTTTCTGAACAGCGACCGATGAGACGATGACTGTCGTATTGATGCCTCCGCGAAAACTGGGGAAGTTGGTTTTGAGCAAACAACCATGAATTGATCGTTCAATCTTCAACTCCATTGACAACATTTGTGTCCATACAAATATGTAGGAGGATGTCCTTATGTTTATGCTGACTGAGGTAATGCGTATATAATCGCAATTTCTACCCCGTATCCTCCATATCTCTTGTTTTGTTTAGAACAAAGACAATTGAACGCATCTTAATGATCTTCTAAATTACAGAATATGTGCAATGATGGTCGCTAGCTAGCTAGGGATAGTGCACGAATGGTCTAACATAACATCACAGCGTGTGAACGGGGAACTTTCAGCTTAATATGTCCTATAGTGCAAAGCTCAGCATTTAGCATTCAGTGGAGATTCATGTAGACTGGCAGTTTTGGGAAATTATTTTTTGAAAATCATCAACTCTCCCCAAATGAACTGCATATGTATTCTTCTCAAATATTGAGCGACATCGTGTATCTATTTCTAATATCGATTACAAACTTTTGCAATGAGTGACGACATTGTTACAGATATTCAGTTTCTGTTGATCGTTGTGCTTAGAATATAAAAGATTAAATTGATTTCGTGGACTCCCTAAATTCCATGATATTTCATGTGACCTGATCTCTAATTCTGACATTCCTTCCCCAGCATCAGCTTGCTAGGACAACTTTATTTGCTCTGTCATGATGCTGAAACAACTTGACGGGAAGGCAAATGTTATGCAAGTTAATTTTAATATAGATCATACCAGGCAGTGAGCAGACCTCAGTTTGACCGATGTAAAATAAACTAAAGCTGACTTTATGTTTCATCCACTCAGTTCGCACCAAAGAGCCATATTTGCACCAAATTTATGGATAAGCATTGAAAAATATACGTAAAGCAACTAATGATTACTCATACTTTCGTTTATAAGCACAAGTATTCTTACCCATAGGGTGCACAGGTAGTGTCATCGCAAAAGTAAATAAGTATGTTTTGTTTTTATTGCTCAATAGGCAGTTTGTGTGTATTGCACATTATCCGCTACATTTAATTCCCCCAAAAATGTCAATTGGTGTCGGATACAATTACTCGTATATCTTTAAGTATATTATTGTTGGTGATATGGGAGTAGGGAAAAGTTGCCTCATGCGCCAGTTTACGGAAAAAAAGTGTAGGAAAATTGTATTTCGCGATTTCTCATGTTATTCTTAGTTATTCCTGACTCCCCACACACCATTGGTGTTGAGTTTGCAACTAAAATAGTAGAAGTGAATGACCAGAGAGTCAAAATCCAGATATGGGATACGGCTGGGCAGGAGCGCTTCAGAGCTGTTACTCGGTCTTATTATCGTGGAGCTGCTGGGGCACTATTGGTATATGATATCACACGAAAGCCGACTTTCAATCGCATTCAAACTTGGCTGACTGATGCTAGACGTTTAACGTCTCCCAACACAGTAATCTTTCTGATTGGTAACAAGGCAGACCTCGAGGAGCAGCGTGATGTTACGTATGAGGAAGCTAAACATTTGGCTGAAGAAAACGGTCTTATGTTCTTGGAGTGCAGTGCGAAATCGTAAGTCTATCGATAGCTTGTTTTCAGTCTTTCATTGCTTTTTTTAAACCTCTCTTGAGTTGATCCCGTATGTTATTGGTTTTTGAGAAGCTCAAATTTCTACGTATGTCCTATAGGGCATTTCAGAAATCACATCCGGCAGATGTACCTCCCTACGTGGCTTAAGCCGTCTGTCGATAACAGCCATCTGTCGTCGAATTTCACTCTGTCCACCTCTAATCCCTACGGAAATGAGTCCAGGAATCATGAATAACTGAGCAGACCATTCCGTTTTTCGATCATTATTTTACGGATACGTTTATTTAATCTTCAGCTTGTTCTCATTGAACTCAGGATTCATTTTTGGGAGCGGCCAAATGTTGAGAAAAGTGTATTTCGTGCAGTTACATAGGTTTCAAAGGTAGTAACTGGCTATGCATTTTTTATAAGAGGTGATTAACATGATGGATAACTGTCCATCCAATTCATTTTTTACGTCCCAAATTTTCCTACTTGTCCCTAAAACCTCCTTTATTTTAAATCCCGAAATGTCAGTTTGCACAAGTGATGTGTTTCACACCGGTGTAAAGTAATGTTAGTCAATGGAATCTGTATTGTGCCACTAGACTCATGGTTGCCTGTCGTTAAAGGTAACATACTGAATATGTTCTTCCATTGTTTATAACGCTTAGCACCTTATGAAATTTACAAGACTTACAGAGGAGCTGGATCAATGTAATGTTAGCTTCAATCCCAAGCTCAATCATTTTAAAACCGATATGTAAGAGATTAGGACCCATTCGCATTTTTTTTATTCCTTACGTTCTCAGCGGAACATAAGTCTTCAAGCTAGAGGCTTGAAGTTTCTGTAGCAGTGGTGATTGTTTTTAGAGGATGGGGTTGCTAGTCTCCTGCCCAACCTTCCCTCTTTACCGATCTTACGACTGGCTTAGCCAGGTAAAGTGGTGCGTCGGCCGGGTGTCGAACCCCAAGCCACCTGCGTGGTTGGCGATCATCCTAACTCTGTGCCATCGACGCACACCCATTCGCATTACTGATCTTGAAACTACTAGGCTATCATCTGAAGAATGTTGGATAGTATGGTTTAGCATCCAATTAAGACTACATATTCAGAATTTCATGGTGCTCAACCTCTTCGAATAACTTTTACTGTTTATCTAGGAGTCCGGTTAATCCAAATATATATCAATATATGTGCGAAACTTGGGTACTGTGGTAGTAATTCCATATGAGTGTGTTTATTAGATATATCACACAGTGAAGCAGTATTATCTACTGGATGACGTTTCGAACAAAATTTATTGTTCATAACCATATCAATTACCATAATTGATATTGATTACGTCCTAACTGTCTTCCATCCGCTTTAAGCGATTTATCCTTTAAACCATCGACACATCAAATCCGTCCCCAGATATTTCTTTGATAAATCTAAATAGTTGGGACGCATTTTTTACCAATAGTGCCTCTTCCATTTCTTCCACTTTGGTACTTCACAGCCGTTCATGGTTGTTGTGAAAACTTTTATTCAAAATAGATTTGAGCAGATAATGTTCAACAGCGATCTCCATAGTTTATTAATTTCCGGAAGTTACAGTTGATGAACACGTCACGTGACTCAAACAAACAATAAATCGGTGCATTGACATCAATTTGTAGTTTGACTGCTTGTAATTATTTTGCAAACTGATTCTGCTTCAGTTGCCAATGCTTGTCAGGAAAGAGTGTCTGGGTTTAAATATAAAACTTCTCTCAGAAGCACAGCAGCACACAAAAGCAGACAGAAAAAATGGATATAAAGAACCATAATAAGCAGAAATATGAAGGAAGAAGAATAGTAATATCGAGGAACAGTATAATTTTATTGGATATGACAAGTCACAAATAGTGAATGCATCTGCACCGGTCACTGAGAACGATTTTGAACCACATCACCAATTGTCTCCAACCTTCACTGGTTCCTACCGTCCCGAGGACCCCAACCACCCAGCCAGTCTACACCTCCCTACGTGACTGGGTTGAAATAACTGCAGTGGATTTCATTGACTGATGAAGCCATGTTTTCCACCCTGATCCATCCGATGCGGTGAAAAACCGAGAGGTACACTCGAAAGAATTTAATGCATGTAGAAGAGAACACACGTCTGTCTGTCTGTTTTCGACATAGAACTTTGCACATGCGTACGGCAGTTCAAGTCGCCACACTTCATGTAGCGCACAAAGCAAGTGAAGGAAGTAAAAAAAGGCATGATAGAGACAGTAAACAGAGGTGTGAGACAAAGGAATAGTAATAACGAAGAACAATATAGTTTCAGTGGAAATCATAAGTCACAGGGAGTGGATGCATCTGCACCATTGAGAACGATTTTGAGCTATATCACCAATTGTTTCCAACCATTGATTTTTACCGTCACGGGGACCCCAATCAGGAAGTCTACACCTTCCCACGTGGTTTCCATCCTATTTCAGTCAACACTGCCCGTCGGTCGAGGAAGGCGATGGTTAGGCGTGTGTAACACATGTCAAGCTAATCCCCCTGCGATTTTCGCAGAAAGACTCCCTTATAAATTGGAATGACCCGTGGCGTATACCAGTCAAACGCAACTATCTCTGAATCCTGAACATTACCCCATACTTCAGTTAACTCAGACAGCGCTTTATCACCGTCCTTAAACACGTATGGGATTATTCCGTCAGGCCCCGCTGCTTTGTCTCGTTTCAGATTACGGACAGCTTTTGTAACCTCAGTTATGTATGAGGGACAAGTGTCTGTATCCCATTCAGGGAAGCGTCGGATCTGCGGTAAGTTGAGCATGGCTGTAGTCCAGTTAAATTACAAAAGGTAAATGACAAGTAAGATAATTCCTGAGAAAAATTGCGTCCTCATTAGGTCTCAGCATAGATGACTGAACGTTGGAATACACGTTTTTCAGGAAGTGTCGAGAAAACAGCGCACTTACCAAGGTACTCAGCTCCAACTCATTCAGCCAGGTAAGGGTTTGTAAAAAGTTGTTATCTGAAGTGATGACAACTAATGGTATCCCTCAGGGATGCCCACTATACCCATTTCTATTCAGTTACATCATAGATGTAATAACGGAATTAACCCTAACTCACTTCAGAGGCTCAGGGATTGACTTGTTACCAGGGAATAATCACGTCGACTTAGTATATGCAGATGATATAGTCCTTCTAGGTGAAGACGCTGACAAAATGCAGTCTTCTGAACACCTTGAGCTGCAATCCGCTAATATTTGACATGCGATTCGCTCCTGTCAGTCAAATGTAAGGTGATCCTAGAGGACGACTACATCGACTCCTAACTTAAAGATAGGAAGTGGAGCGGTAGAGCGTTTTGACTACTTCAATTATTCGAGAATTTGCATTAGCCAGCCATAACGGGTTGATCGCTGACGAAATCTCAGCACGGATACGGAAGGCTTGTTTCGCATATGCCAGTTCAGGTCGTCCCTGGTGTGGACGTGATATCGACCAAAAGACGCGTGTACCGCTCAGAACTCCGCTGCGTCCTCCTTTGTTGTTGTGAGTGAGACATAGACATTGGAAGTGGGAGATACGATTAGATTGGCTAGCTGTCTTTGATCAAAGGTGTTTGCGTCCTATCTCCCGTGTCAAGTGGTATAATAAAGTGAGCAATATTGAGGTTAGGCCCCGGTCGACTGCTGGGTAAGGAGGGCAAATCAATCGATGAGGTTGTGTAGTTAAATCGATTGAGATGGTTAGGATATGCATTACACATACCTAACCATCGCCTTCCTCGACCGACGGGAAATGTTAGCTGACATAGAATGGTTCAAGCTGGAAAAGAGCTAGTGGTGGTCAAGCCAAAACATGGCTTCATCAGTCAGTGAAATCCACTGCAGTTAGTTTAACCCAGTCACGTAGGGAGGTGTAGACTGGCTGGGCGGTTGGGGTCCTCGGGACGGTAGGAACCAGTGAAGGTTGGAGACAATTGGTGATGTGGTTCAAAATCGTTCTCAGTGACCGGTGCAGATGCATTCACTATTTGTGACTTGTCATATCCAATAAAATTATACTGTTCTTCGATATTACTATTCTTTTTCCTCATACTCTCTCTTTACTCCCTTCTTCTGCTTTGTGTGCTACATGAAATGTTGCAGTATGAACTGCTGAACATCTGTACAAAGTTCTATGTTGAAACCAGTTGGTCAAGCAGTCTAATCTAAAAGCATCAGTGAGTGTTAGTTGCTGAACAACTTTGTATTGCATATTTCTTTTTTGCATCATTACTTTTGGAGTTAATTTATGATTCCACACAATCGCCTGGAATATATCTCAAAGGAGCATTCAAAATATCTTGGAACGTTTTGTGTACATTGTTACTTAGTCGTTAAGACTCCTAACTAAGTTATTAATGACTGATAGGTGATCTTATACAAATGATTGACTTGATTTAAAAACTAACTCGGCTTTTTGTGTCGGAAGTCAGATATTTCCTTTTGAGAACTGTGTATTAAAACCCGTCGTTTGTATATACTGGTAAATATAAGAATGAAAGAGCATAAACAATGTCTAAAGGTGGTTCCAAAGAGCTCTGCAGACTTGAAGAAGCTAGAAAACAACTCAGCGATTGCACTACATTCAATAGAAACGGGACACAAAATCGACTTTGATAAAACTAAGGTTTTACAGAAAGGTTTTGGTTCATATCAAGAAAGACTGACTGCAGAAGCCCTACATATATGGGTGAATCCCAACATTTTAAACAGACGTGAAGGTGTGATGTTAGCTGATGCATGGCAAATCCTGACTAATAAATAAAATAAAATTTGATATGTGTGAACAAGTAGTCACACCTGGTCAAATTCCCGATTGTCTACGTCTTCTTATGGAGAGAATAACAAATTTATAAAAAATTAAATTATATTTATAAAAATCTCAATTATTTTGTAACTATCCGGTCAAATCTTGATCACAGCTCATATGAGAATAGCAAATGTTTTATGACTGTTCCACCCACCCACACACACACACACACACACACCATTGTATCCTGCATATACACAAAAGTAGACAAATTTTGAAAGTCTGAGGTCAAAAAAGTTTTTGATCATAGTTCATACAATTTTTGTTTTATTTTTAGTATACCTATTGATTCATATTTAAAAATAAGAGATGCACTTTTATATAAACATACAATTCTATTTATTTATTTATTATACATATTAATACCTGTTGCATGACTCATAATTGGATAAAATTTTAAAAAAACAAGAGGTGTCCCTTTATATATAAACCTTTGTTATGTTAATTTCGATTAATTTCCCTGATGAAGTTCGGACCAGATTGCCGAACGAAACATTGGAATTAATCATTTCAGTTTCGCTGAGATTTTACAAATATAACTTTATAAATACTGGTTGATTATTTGTTTGTTTAAAGGGACGGTTTTTGATCACGTATCAAAGTGGGTTCCGGAAAGGCTCATATCGGCTAGTCAAATAAAAGACAACAAAACGTAAGACAAAAAGTATAAACCTAGATTAGAATTGTTTATATATCCTAGAAAATGAAGCAGATTGAGCAGTTCTTGCAAGATATACATAAAAGCGTCTGACTTTTAACTGGTGGTTTCTGAGTTTGCACTTCTCTCTTTGTTCTTCACTCCTGTAGAATGAATAGCACCAATAACTACTAGAGTATTAACTCTTGGCTCATAGCTGAATACGTGGAGGTAAAAAACACTGTTTAATTGTTTATTTTGAACTAAACAATTATGGTTATTCCCTGCTGTGAATGTTCTTATCAATATCACTCATCCTACTCGAGTTCATTATGTAGAATGATTACATATAATTTATACATATAATCTATTGTTTTTACTTTTAGTGGTGTTAATGTGGAAAACGTGTTTGTTGAAACTGCTCGAAAAATATTCCAAAATGTTCAAGACGGAAGGTACGTAATTAACTGAGGTTTTACATTAATCATTCTAACTTCTGTGTTTCATCAATTGTCTTTGGCACAGTCTAAATTCTACGCTAGACGCATTTATTACTTCATGTTTTTTACGTTACCACATAGTTTATAATAATACATATTTATTCCTGTCGATGTAGGAACATACAAATTGTACAGGCATAGATAAGTTTTATTCAAATTATATAAACTTGGTTTATGTCTAATGTCTAGTCAGTTCCCATGATACTTCTGGACTTTACTAAAATTTTTATTGATTACACGCTGACTCATTGCTCTGACACTAAGGCGAATATCAAAATGTTGTCCTGTATTTTTTATGTATTTCTCAAAACAACTGGTTATTAGAATCTAAGCATAAAAATAAAAAACAAATGTTGAATTTTCTATTTTCTACTAATTGGTGCTATTATCTAACCGGAGTTCTGTTGATAGGACCTGATTCAGGTCTCTCAGCCGAGTCAGCCCAGATGTACTAGTGAACTCCCGACAGCGAAATGGCTGTCAGGAGTTCAGATTACCCCGTGTGTGTATGACTTTCAGCTACTGTTACCGCCTCTAGTTCGAGGCGATATATGCCACTCATTGGTAGCCGTATTAATATGGAAACTATATGCTATAGGCTCATAGTTGGATCCCTAAGCCAATAAGCTGCGTCGCCACGGGCTGTGTAATACATCCCAATTATGTATTGTCAACTGGCAAGTATTTAGAAAGACTAAAATCAGTTGACTTTACAAGACTATCTTTGAGCAGCCTATCTTTTTAATTTTAAGATCATTTTAATTTACCCTCTCTCTACACTCTTATTGATTGCGGCAACTTTGACTAGTCCCTCTATGCACAACATTCTAATTTGGTTTATGTTCACTGATGTGTATGGAACTCTGTTTTGGGTTTTTTTCTTCAAGTTCCCAGTGGAACATAGAGCTTCAAGCTAGTGGCTTGAAGTTTCTGTAGTCGTAATTATTTTTACAGCCTGGGGTTGCTAGCCCCAACCTTTCTCAACCTTTCCTCTTTACCAGCATTATTTCTGGCTTAGCGAGGTAAAGGAGTTCGTCGACCGGGGATCAAACCCCGGACCGAGTTCATGGTCGGTTGATTATATGACTTACTGTGGTACATAATTGGCGAAGTATCGGTGATTATTACCCTGATTTATGTAGCGCATAAGTTGAATATCACACGTGAAGTTACCTTTACTGTATACCTACTGGTATTTTTTCTTTCATTCATCTTTATATGAAGCATGCGACAGGGACTGACTGATTGCTTTCAGCATAGATAGTCAAGACTAAAGCACTGCGTATAACTGCTTTTTATGTAGTATGAACCATAGGATTTTCAACTACAACACTACAGCTATGTTAACACTTCAAACTAATTATTTATAAACACTCATGTGAAGTGTGAATCCAAATAAACATGTTAAAGTACATACCCAACTTCGTGATCATTTAGATTTTCTGTCAGTTTTTGAGAACCAAGACGTAAATTGCAGCGTAAAAAGGAAAGAAGTTAAACAGTAGTGTTTACAGGAAACTCACACATTCAAACAGATATTTGGACTTCCGATCATTTCATCCTATGTCAGTAAACGTAGTATTGGTGAAATGTTTAAGTGACAGAACACAAAAACTAAGTAGTACCAAGGAAAATCTAAGACAGGAAGTGAGGCATACAAGAAAAGCTTTGAAACTTAATAATTGCCCTGATAAATTAGTCAGGAAATGTGTAGGGAAATGTAAAAATGAAATAGATAATGATAGTAGTGATAGTGATAATCTGTCTGTCTGTCTGTTTTCGACATAGAACTTTGCACAAATGTGCGGAAGTTCAAGTCGCCACACTCCGTGTAGCACGCGAAGCAAGAAAAGAAAGTACAAGAAAAGCATAATAGAAACAGTGAGCAGAGGTGTGAGACAAAGGAGTAATAAAGAAAAACAAAACAGTTTCATTGGAGATCATAAGTCACAGGGAGTGGATGCATCTGCGCCACTGAGAACGGTTTTGAGCCATGTCACCAATTGTTTCCAACCATTGATTTTTACTGTCCCGAGGACCCCAGCCTGGAAGTCTGCACCTTCCTACGTGGCTGGCTTAGACTAACTGTTGTGGATTTCATTGACTGGTGCCAAGTTTTTGTTTGACCGCCGCTAGCTTTTTTCCAGCCTGACCCTATATCCGCTAACATTGCTCGTCGAGGGAGGCGATGGCTTGGCATACGTAACACATGTCCTAACCATCTCAGTCGATGTAGCTTCACGACTTTGTCGATTGATTTCCCCTGTTTACCTAGAACCCTACGCCTAACCTCAATGTTGCTCACCTTATTATGCCACTTCACACGGAAATAGAACGCAGGCACCTATGATCAAAGACAGCTAGTCTTTTCATGTCTTCCACTCTCAGTGGCCAGGTCTCACAACCATAAAGGAGGACGGAGCGGACTGATGAGCAGTACACCCGCCCTTTGGTCGATAGTCGAACATCTCGTCTACGCCAGAGTCGGCGTAAACTAACAAATGCGAAACGAGCCCCTTGTATTCGTGCTGAGATTTCGTCAGAGATCAGCCCGTTGGGGCTGATGGTACTTCCCAAATAAGTGAAGCGGTCAACGTGCTCTACCACTTCACTTCCTATTTTTAAACTAGGCGTCGATGTAGTCCAGTCCTGTAACATCATCTTGAATTTGGCGGGAGCGAATCGCATGCCAAACATTCGTAGATTACAGCTCAAGGTGTTCAGAAGACTCTGCATTTCGTCAGCGTCTTCGCCTAGAAGGACTGTATCGTCTGCATATTCCAAGTCAACGAGATTATTCCCTGGTAGCAAGTCAATCCCTGAATCGCTGAAGTCACTTAGGGTTAAGTCCATTAACATATCTATGATGAAGTTGAATAGAAAAGGAGATAATGGGCATCCTTGACGGACACCACTGGTCGTCATCAGTTCAGATGACAGCTCGCCGTAAGCCCTCACCTGGCTGGCTGCATGAGTACGAATAGAGTGCCTTAATCAGTGCAATATATTTTCTTGGAATTCCCTTTACAGCCAAGCATCTCCAGAGAACTTCCCGATCGACAGAGTCGAATGCTGCCTTTAGGTCAAGAAATATAATGACTGTTGGACGCCGGTAGGAATGCCTATGTTCTAGAATCTGTCGGAGGGTGAAGATATGATCAATACACCCTCTTCCTGGTCTAAAGCCTGCCTGGCTCTCTCGTGTTTGTGCTTCCCGAGCACCACTCAGTCTACGCATGATTATTGAGCCTAAGACTTTAGATACTATATTAGTCAAGCTAATCCCTCTGTGATTATCACGGGAAGACTTGTCTTGTGATAATAATAATATTGATGACGACATGCATGTCAAATATGCGCAAGACAACACCAACATCGACGAATCTAAATCAGCCGTAGTAATTCCATACAAGGAAGGAACCTCGGAAACCTTACACAGAATTCTTATGAAGACAAGAATAAAAGTGGCATTCAAACCACAAACTCAATTAGAAACAAGCTTTGTTGGTTAAAGAATCCTATGGAGCCTTTAAGACAAAACAATTTAATTTATTTAATACCTTGCTGTAATGATTGTCAGGTGAAATAAATAGGTGAAAGTAGTAGGTCAGAGGCAGTTAGACTAGTCGAACATAAAAACCTAGCAAAATCTAGATTGGTTGACCCGAATAAGATAAGAAACCTAGAGAATAGTTCAGCTATCGGAAGCACTAAATGTAATCGCACACCACCATACAATAGGACGGGATTGGATGACAGTTTTCTTAAATCTGATGTCACAGGGTGGAGGAAGAGACTGATAACAGAAGCTTTATTTATCTAATCTACTGCAAATATGTGTAACAGTTATGATTCAGCGCCTGTCCCAAATATCTGGAAAATTCTACTACCCCAGCGACGACAAATAAGAGAGAACGAAGAAAACTATAAAACTCAAGTTTCAAAGTCTTGTGATTATAATTGATATCATTATGAACAATAAATTTTGTTCGAAACGTTATCCAGTAAATAATACTGTTTCACTGTGTGATATATCTAATAAACAAACTAATGTGAAAGGTTATTCTGAACCTTTTTCAAAGTTGTGACTGAATTGAACCGATGTCCAACCAAGTAATACTTAAATGAATAAAATTATCTGGTGACTAATCATTTTTTTAAAAATTTTCTTTTGATAGTGTGTATCTAAACAGTGTTGATGGAGGCGTATTGAGTAAAGGTTCATTGGCTGCAGGTGCCGGGCGAAATAATGTTGAACTTAACACTTCAGCTTCGGGTGATAGTGGGACACGACAAGGCGGATGCGCTTGCTGAACTGTTAATTATCATATGAAAATGAATTGATGTTAGAAGGCGAAGATGAAGAAAAAAAGGAATAAAAGAGAAAAACTATACTCTAAAGTAGGAATCTATATTTTCCCGTGATCATGATGTATTCATCACTTTGTTTTATTTTACAAAAAAGGCTACTGCATCATTCTCTTAATTTTCCCTGCATATACATAATGTGTAATCACTGCAGTTGGTGGACACCACATAACTTTGTCGATTTGTTCGTAATTATTTACTGTCTTTTTGATTTGTGTCTTTCTTTTGGTCATCATAAACTAATAGTATGTTTATACATGAAGATTTCGGCTTTAGCGATCAATAATGTGCTTTTTGTTTTTTTATTTGCACTGCTCTCTGTCTATCTTGTGTATTTCCGTATGTTTGTCTGTCTTCATTATTGGTGTATTGATTCATCGTGAGATAAATGTAGTCAGTATGCCATTGGATAGATCCATACTCCACCTGTTCTACTCGTGATATATTAATAATTTTATTTTCTTGATTTGTTTCAATATTTTTCTTCTTTTTTAATTTTTAACTCTTAAGCGTAACGTAGTTTCTTATTTGCTATATATGTTATCTGATCATAGTCATAATTTGAAGATCACTGTCCACGCATAATTGACCTACACATTCTCATATATATATATATATATATATATATATATATATATATATATATATATATATATATATATATGTACAGATGTATTGGCACAGATAAATGGTACAAACTACTGTTTACGTATATCTGTGTGAGAATAATTTTTCGTATCACATTTAGTTGGTGATGCGATAGTATTCCTAATTTTGTGTGTGTGTGTGTGTGTGTATGTCTTTTTGCGGTATTCTACCTTCTTTGTTGAAAAAAACAGACCGGATTTTCTCCGGTATTTCGGAGATGACTTTTTCTACGTACCCTCTCTGCCTCGTGAAGCTATTATGTGATACAATTTTTCAGTTAAACAGATATTCTTTATTCACATTATGAATTTGACAAGAATTGTCCGCTTATGCTATGACAGAGAGAAAAGTAAAAGACAAACAAACATCATCTTGTCAGAGATAAGCATTTTCCTACTCAGCATACCACCAATAAACACAGGTGATATTTTATTCGAAATACTCTATTTTATCCCTGCTAAAATGTAACAACTCATATCTCAGTTTCATTTATTCTTTTATTTGTGTTTTTTGTCTGACTTACGTATGTTTTACTAATTTCTGTAAATTAATATTATTATTATTATTCCTGTGCTTATTTATTTGTCCCTACTCAAGTTTGTTCCATTCTCATTTTCTCATTCAACTATGAATATGTAACAATGATACATAATTTGCACATACATTCAATCAGCCGTCTAATCATCAATTCAGTCTAATTACATGGTTTTAACTTTCCTGATTTTTACCTATAAAAGTGGTTAATGTTCACTTAGTATTCTTCACCGCCATCAACTGATGGCATCCACTGAGGATCAACAAAAAATTCCACTAAATCTCTTCATCACACCACAACGAAATATCCACTCTGACTTCAAATCCAATATCAAAGAGTTAAATATAAACAGATAAGCCAGGTAGCCACTGCATATTCTGATTCGGATTGTGAAAATCCTCACCAGTCTTTGTCTAACTATCCTCCCTCGCACATATCTTCATTCATTGTGCTTTCATAGCATTTACTTCTCCCTACTTGCATGTGTGATTCTTCAAAGTGTGTCAACTGGGACTGTTGCACGTCTGTGCTCAGTTCTACCCTGATAAGTTGGTCAGTAAATCTGGGTTTCACTGACACAAGTTTAGTTTGGTTCTGTGTGACTGCGAATGGGAAGTTATGAGTTGGTTTTCTTTTCTTGTCAGAAAGCACAGTTGTGTGAGAATGTGTCGATTAGTTGTCATTTCTGCTCCTGGTTTAGGGATAGTCAGTGAAATGGTTGAGTGTATTGATCACTTGACATATCTGGGGAGTTGTGTCAGCTTTAATGGACTGATTGCTGACGAAATGTCATGAGGTCTGGTGTCGGCGTGATATTGCGTTATCGGTCGAGGGAGGTGTGTGGGGTGGGAGGCTTTGCTTGTCCTGTCCATCTGTACGGCTGTGAGACATGGGAATTCAGGGTTTGAAGATGTGAAAAGATTCGATGATTTCGAAGGTGAGATTCTCCATCGAGTCTCCGGTGTTAGGTTGATCAGTGTGTTGAGTGATGATCAGGTGAGGAGGGAAATCAGTCGGATAGGCTGTGAAAGTGCATGGATTGAAGTGGCCATGATTTGTGCTGTGCATGACGGGCTCTCTCGACAATCGATGTAAGCTGAGACAGGAGTAGGTTGTGAAAGAGTGATGGATGGTGAGACGATGAGATGGCACGAAGTCTATGACTGTTGGTTTCGGCCAGGTGAGAAGGTGTAGACTGCTCGGCTGGGATCCTCGAGATGCTAAGAAGCAGTGGTTGGAAAGTGTCAGTGACATGGTTGAAAATCGATCAGAATGGCACAGAGGTGCTCACTGCCTCTTATCATCCGGATTGTGAAAATCCTCACCAGTCTTTGTCTAACTATCCTCCCTCGCACATATCTTCATTCATTGTGCTTTCATAGCATTTACTTCTCCCTACTTGCATGTGTGATTCTTCAAAGTGTGTCAACTGGGACTGTTGCACGTCTGTGCTCAGTTCTACCCTGATAAGTTGGTCAGTAAATCTGGGTTTCACTGACACAAGTTTAGTTTGGTTCTGTGTGACTGCGAATGGGAAGTTATGAGTTGGTTTTCTTTTCTTGTCAGAAAGCACAGTTGTGTGAGAATGTGTCGATTAGTTGTCATTTCTGCTCCTGGTTTAGGGATAGTCAGTGAAATGGTTGAGTGTATTGATCACTTGACATATCTGGGGAGTTGTGTCAGCTTTAATGGACTGATTGCTGACGAAATGTCATGAGGTCTGGTGTCGGCGTGATATTGCGTTATCGGTCGAGGGAGGTGTGTGGGGTGGGAGGCTTTGCTTGTCCTGTCCATCTGTACGGCTGTGAGACATGGGAATTCAGGGTTTGAAGATGTGAAAAGATTCGATGATTTCGAAGGTGAGATTCTCCATCGAGTCTCCGGTGTTAGGTTGATCAGTGTGTTGAGTGATGATCAGGTGAGGAGGGAAATCAGTCGGATAGGCTGTGAAAGTGCATGGATTGAAGTGGCCATGATTTGTGCTGTGCATGACGGGCTCTCTCGACAATCGATGTAAGCTGAGACAGGAGTAGGTTGTGAAAGAGTGATGGATGGTGAGACGATGAGATGGCACGAAGTCTATGACTGTTGGTTTCGGCCAGGTGAGAAGGTGTAGACTGCTCGGCTGGGATCCTCGAGATGCTAAGAAGCAGTGGTTGGAAAGTGTCAGTGACATGGTTGAAAATCGATCAGAATGGCACAGAGGTGCTCACTGCCTCTTATCATCCGGATTGTGAAAATCCTCACCAGTCTTTGTCTAACTATCCTCCCTCGCACATATCTTCATTCATTGTGCTTTCATAGCATTTACTTCTCCCTACTTGCATGTGTGATTCTTCAAAGTGTGTCAACTGGGACTGTTGCACGTCTGTGCTCAGTTCTACCCTGATAAGTTGGTCAGTAAATCTGGGTTTCACTGACACAAGTTTAGTTTGGTTCTGTGTGACTGCGAATGGGAAGTTATGAGTTGGTTTTCTTTTCTTGTCAGAAAGCACAGTTGTGTGAGAATGTGTCGATTAGTTGTCATTTCTGCTCCTGGTTTAGGGATAGTCAGTGAAATGGTTGAGTGTATTGATCACTTGACATATCTGGGGAGTTGTGTCAGCTTTAATGGACTGATTGCTGACGAAATGTCATGAGGTCTGGTGTCGGCGTGATATTGCGTTATCGGTCGAGGGAGGTGTGTGGGGTGGGAGGCTTTGCTTGTCCTGTCCATCTGTACGGCTGTGAGACATGGGAATTCAGGGTTTGAAGATGTGAAAAGATTCGATGATTTCGAAGGTGAGATTCTCCATCGAGTCTCCGGTGTTAGGTTGATCAGTGTGTTGAGTGATGATCAGGTGAGGAGGGAAATCAGTCGGATAGGCTGTGAAAGTGCATGGATTGAAGTGGCCATGATTTGTGCTGTGCATGACGGGCTCTCTCGACAATCGATGTAAGCTGAGACAGGAGTAGGTTGTGAAAGAGTGATGGATGGTGAGACGATGAGATGGCACGAAGTCTATGACTGTTGGTTTCGGCCAGGTGAGAAGGTGTAGACTGCTCGGCTGGGATCCTCGAGATGCTAAGAAGCAGTGGTTGGAAAGTGTCAGTGACATGGTTGAAAATCGATCAGAATGGCACAGAGGTGCTCACTGCCTCTTATCATCCGGATTGTGAAAATCCTCACCAGTCTTTGTCTAACTATCCTCCCTCGCACATATCTTCATTCATTGTGCTTTCATAGCATTTACTTCTCCCTACTTGCATGTGTGATTCTTCAAAGTGTGTCAACTGGGACTGTTGCACGTCTGTGCTCAGTTCTACCCTGATAAGTTGGTCAGTAAATCTGGGTTTCACTGACACAAGTTTAGTTTGGTTCTGTGTGACTGCGAATGGGAAGTTATGAGTTGGTTTTCTTTTCTTGTCAGAAAGCACAGTTGTGTGAGAATGTGTCGATTAGTTGTCATTTCTGCTCCTGGTTTAGGGATAGTCAGTGAAATGGTTGAGTGTATTGATCACTTGACATATCTGGGGAGTTGTGTCAGCTTTAATGGACTGATTGCTGACGAAATGTCATGAGGTCTGGTGTCGGCGTGATATTGCGTTATCGGTCGAGGGAGGTGTGTGGGGTGGGAGGCTTTGCTTGTCCTGTCCATCTGTACGGCTGTGAGACATGGGAATTCAGGGTTTGAAGATGTGAAAAGATTCGATGATTTCGAAGGTGAGATTCTCCATCGAGTCTCCGGTGTTAGGTTGATCAGTGTGTTGAGTGATGATCAGG